TATATATATATATATATATATATGTGTATATATGTATATATGTATATATATATATATATATATATATATATATATAGTAATCCAGGTATAAATCCAACAATGTTCAGTCAGATCATCTGGATGGTTTCTTTTTTTTTTATTTTGCTCAAATGTTTCATCATTTATCCAAAGGACTTCTTCAATCTGAGGAGCCACCAACTAACTGAGTCCCACAAACAGAACACACCCATAGTGGAAATAAACTGTTTGCTGGCGATAACATGGTTTCTGGGGCCCACCCTCTCCCCTGTCAACTCCTCTGAGGCAGCCATGCCAAAGTGGTTCAAAACACCAAAGTTCATGCTCAATAATCCAGGTACAAATCCAGAAATGTTCAGTTAGGTCATCTGGACGGTTTCGTTTTATGCTGAGACGTTCCGTTCTTCATCCAAAGGACTTCTTCAATCTGAGTTCACATTCACATGAAATAAAAATGTATGAGCCCTTGTTTGCACGGAGCAAATAATTCTCTGGATATTTGACACTGAGTGTTCATGCTGACATCAGCTGCTGCTTTCTGCTCCTTTACGTCTTGCACGTGTCTCACATTTTACCCCACTGCTGATGTTAAAGATACACATCTAGTGCTTATAGCAAAACAAAAACCTGTGATCATCTGACACTCAGAGGCTTTTCTTGTTGAGAGAATGTGACCTTTGTGCAGAATCTTTCGAAGTCCTGCAGTGAAATTTGTGCGAGGAGGAAACATTGGAAAAACCTATGACGTTTAGGTTATCGTATTTTTCTAACTATAAGAAGCATTGTGCGGAATAAAACAGTTGGATGAGTCAAACTTTATTCAACTCGTTCACAATAATCACATAAAATCAGTTTTTGGTCAGTAAGCACAGCCAGAATTAATAAATAAGGCGCATCTGATTATAAGGCTCACTGTTGATTTTTGAGAAAATTAAAGGATTTTAAGTGTGCCTTATAATCCTAAAAATATGGTACAGTAAATGCTTGATTTTAACCCCAGACTGGTGTTATTCAGACACATCAACAGGAAACTATTGGAAATATTTAAAAGGCAATGTGTCTAAATAACAATCACACTACAACTCAAATGTATTTTACATCAACCAACCGTCAATTTAAGGCTTAAGTGATTGAGTTTTAACAGTTTCTGACTTAATCATCATCGATCATTAATTCTTCCTCCCTTTTTATGAACTGGAGCGCAGCAGAGCGTCCCCAGACAGGGGTGTCCTCCCCTCTTCAAAGTCTGGGATCAAATTAAAAGGCGGAGCTGCGTGGTCTGCTGGAGCATTCAAACCTCCGAGTGAGATTTCTCAAGAGGTCATCCTTGTAAAATAAATATCTTCTTTTAAATAACGTATCAAAGCGTGGGATTTCAGACTAGTGTTTAATGCTGTCCCTTTGCTGTAGCCATATGTTTTCTTATGATTAATAACATGAGACTAGCAAGAACTGTCTGTAGCATCGATGCGCCAACGATCATTCCTGGTTAAGGGGATTTTATTCACAATATGCTGGATGGCACAAAGTTTTCCTATGAATTTATTACCTCTGAGACAAAGGCAGCTATTATCACTCATTCATTATCATCTCATGTACTTAATGATGGGGGCAGCAGCAATGACATATTCTATTTACGTGGGTTTGTGGTGAAGAGCTATGACCGCTCTGTGAAACTGATGAGGCTTCATCAGAATAAACAGTGACCTGAATGTGCAAATATCTTACATGTGGTTCTGCATATCAAACACTCACTGATTTCTAACTTGTCAAAGCCTTATTGATGACGATATTTAGTTTCAACTCGTTGGTTTTGCTGCTTTCCGGTAACACCTCAACACACTAAAAGCAGCCCAGTGGACCATTTCACAAAGGTCACTTGTGAGCCTGCTGATAAAACATTATGGTCGCAGGATAATGCACGAATGGTTGCCACTCAAAAAAACTGAATGAAATATGATGTGGGGGGAAATTGCAAAATGCGGTTTATGTGTTGATTTGCTTGAACAGACTTTAAATCAGTTTGCACCTCAGCTGGCAGGACCTGGAGGACACAAGCTTGTCATCTAGAATGACAGTGGACTATCTTCCAGAGCACAAATTAAAAACCTTGAGTGCATAGAGGAGTTTATCAAAGTTATTCTGCCATATGACTATCAAAGTGTTTGCAGGGCGCCCATTTTGACTGGGATGCACTGCAGAACAGTTTAATGTGTGCATTCAGTCATACTGTAGCTCGTGAAATAGAAATCAACAGTTCAGGGCTTTACAAAAGTCACAACTGGTCTTGAAAACTGTAAATGGTGCATATTTATTTGTACATCTAACCCTTAAAATACTAAAAGTGATAGTTTATATATTTTGAAGTGGGATACTGTAGACAGCTAATGATCATCTAACAGCCTTCTTGTTGCAGAGTGCTCTTTGAACATCTTCAATTTGAATAAATTGTTGAATTCCCATTAGATTTATGAGCTAACAGCTACTCTGAGCAGAGCCAGGAAGGAACATAAAATATTTCTACAAAAACAAATTCCCCCAAGTTACACTGGAAGTGCTACATGGTTCTGATTGGAGTCTTTTTAAGAGACAGAAAATAGCTTTGGAAAGAACTGAACTTTTGTTTTTTTAAACTACGGTAAGATATTAACATGTCCACAGAACCCCTGATCAAAACGTATGAACTATCACTTTACTGTAAAGTTTGGGGAGTGGTGGTGCAGAGGTTCAAGGAAAGCCTGTGACCAGAAGGTCACTGGTTAAACTCACTGAACAACATAAAAAATGTGTGGGGGAAGTGTGAAGCACCCATCTGCCTTCACCCTCATTTGCCCCACTCTGGGCCCTTGAGCAAGGCACTTAACCCCCACCATACTACCCCGGGCAGCTTAGATGGCAGCTGTGCTCCACACAGAGGGCTGTGGTAGCTCGGTGGTCTGTGGTTGCATCAGGAAAGGCATCCAACATACAAACAGTTGCCAAATCTTAGTGCGTTAGTTCACTGTGGCGACCCCTGAAGAAGGGAGCAGCCGAAAGAAGAAAAAAAATATATATAAAGTTTAAGATGCTATTTTTGCATATTTACCCTTTTTTTTGGAATACCATATAAGCCAAAGCACATATATGAACTGCTTGTGAAATATATGGGATTTGAAAATTAAAATCGACGTTCCACTTCAAACTGCAGCAGACGATCACAAGAAAATTAGTAGAAATATTTAATGCACAGCAAAATGGCCCACGAGGGTCATTTCACTGCCATCCATGAGGTTTAAAGAACCAAATGTTTACATCAATAAAGTTGAGCTGTAATAAATTAGAGCTTTTGTTATGAAAACCAACCTTCAGCTTCCCTCTCTGCACTTGATAAGGCAAACTTTGCATGCAACACTTTTACCACCGCGATAAATTCTAACGTTCCTTGTGAAACAGATGAATTCAAATTAAAAGGTTCAAGTTCAAGTTGTGTTTATTTGTCGTATGCAAGGTTAACACAGGGCTAACAGTACAATGAAATGCTTAAGATGAGAAGAACCGATTTGACTCGCTAAAAAAAAAACAATCAAAGAAAAAAAAAAAAGAAATACTAAAAGTATGCAATAAGGGTATACAAAAAAAAAAGTACCAAAAAGTGAAAAAGTAATTATAATATTTACAATGTCCTAAAGAGAGATAGTAAACAACAACATGGTAGAATATAACGGTGCAAGCGGGATGAATTTGAATGAATAAGTAGTTGAAGTTAGTAACATAAGCTAAAATGCATGATATATATTGTTGATGTAAAGACGAAATTTATAACTTCTGCAACAGAAGTAGTTGCAGTACGCTGCCACAGAGACAAAACCTCTTTGTTGTGTTGCATAAATATCTTTTTTTTTTTAATCTGATCATGTTAATCTTACACAGGTTGTTGCTTATTTTTATTCTAGTGATCAAAAAGTTCTCAGAAAACAGTGTTGAGCGTATGCGCGCTCGAGTGATTTATTAGCGTGCGTTTGCAGCTGTATGTTAGTGTGCCATGTGTTTTACTATGTGGCTGAAGCAGAATGAGTTTCGAGCTAAAGCAGCCTGCTCTTTAAATAAGACAGACGAGGCAAGAGTGGGTGGGGATGTTTGGGGGGGGGGGGGGGGTGTTAGACGAAGAGATAGTGACACGGAAAGATAGAAATGAAGAGGAAAAGAGTGGTTACAAAGAGGGAGACAAGAGAGATGGAGAGAAGGGGAGCAGATAGAGAGGTACAGGAAGAGAGGGAAGGAGAGGTGGAGAGTGAATCTGTCATTTTGGAAGCTGTATTGAATCGAGCTCTGCGTCAGGATGTGCTCTACATGCTGATGACCCTGCCACACACACACACACACACACACACACACATGTAAACTCTTAGAAAAGGCCCTGCTTCGTTTTCTGATAAACTACTACTGCCCCCTGCTGTCCTCGTGGCATGCATACCCCGCTGTTACCATGACAACAGAGGAGAGCAACGTGGACTTGAGGGAGGATGTAAAATGTTGCTGTTAATTTATCTTTCTCTGAGATTTTGTGCGCAAGTACTTATAACTTTCGGCTTGTTTCTTCACAGAACCAACCAAAACCAGCTGTGATAACCCAGGAACGCCTCGCTACGGTGCCTTGAATCGAACCTACGGTTTCAAGGTAAAACACGTGTTCTGACGAACTGGCTCTTTAGGAAAGATTTGTTTAAGTCGCTGGTGTGGCTGTTTTACCAAACGCATGCTGAACGTTGAAGACCTGAAAATCTAAATACGTTTTTTTTTTTTTTTACACAAAAAAATATATAAATCTCTGTATTGTTCTGTTTTATATGTAAGCATCAATTACCATGTTTTTCAGACTATAAGGCGAACCGGATTGTAAGGCGCAATATCCAGGAACGGGTTTGTTTTCATACATAAGGCGCATTAAGCGAAACAAAAACAGTCAGATAAGTCAAACTTTATTCAACTTATTCACAATAATCACATAAAATCGGTCTGAGGTCAGTAAGCACAACCAGAATTAATACATAAGGCGCACCTGATTATAAGGCTCACTGTTGATTTTTGAGAAAATTAAATGATTTTAAGTGTGTCTTTAAGTCTGAAAAACACATCAGTGAAGTCAGTGGATCAGTAAACTGTCAGAGGTAGATTAAAAGAAACTGCACAGCACGTGAATCCTATAAGAGAAAAGGGTCATTGAACACAGAAATAGACATCAAGTAATGCGACTTTTTCATGTTGCTCACTGACAATTTACACCAAAAAAAAAAACACGAGAAGGTGCAAGGTGTTGTAAGGATTTGCTGCGCTCAGCGCCTGACAAGTCATCCGTCTTCAATGGCTGAAAAGGTGTTTTATATAAATAAAGCAGGAAATGCTCAGACACATGAATGCATCACAAAATAATCCCTCGTTAAAAGGTTTTGGCCATAACGGATCCTGCAGAATTATCAGGGAAACAGTCCCAGTGAAGGTACTTTTGGTGTGGAACTTGATGTTTGTGGACTGACGACACACAAAAACTCTCGTCTACCACTGCATGGTAGGTTTTGACCTTTTCAGAGAAGAAAGATGTGTCTAACCTGAAAAAATAAAAAGAAACTGCTTGATATTGTTAAGTAAAAGTCAAAGAAAAGAAATCCTGAGAGATTTGATTTACCAAGAAGAAACTGAAAAACGTAAGACTTTATGGTGTCCAGCTCTAATTTACTGATGAACATGATTCAAACAAGTTTAATTGGACGCAGAATAGCACAGTTCTATTCTCAAATATCATAATTACCTCATCTGTTGTTGAAGTCTTGAGTTGAACTGGTTTGTGTTATTAAATCTTTTTAACCACTGAAATACAATAACAGACATCCGAGGTTATAATATTGATAATAACTGTTTATTTGATGAGTGTTATTGTTAGTTATTGTTTAATGGTGCGTTCAATGGCAAACAGACAAGTAAAAAATAATAATCTTCCAGTTAAGAGAAAAAAATTAACACAATCATAAAGTCAGTTTTTATAGATGGGAAATAAAACACTGATTTAAATACTAATAAATGAATTTAACTTATTTATCTCTGAAGTTAAGTGGCTTGCAATAAAAGTTTATAGAATTTGGAGCTGAAAGAGACTGGAAAATATGTGTCTTCTTACTTCCCAGTTCAACTGAATGCAGATTTAGTTTATGTATAAATACTAAACACCCAAAAAGGTCATTTTAAACACTTTCTTTTTTTTTATGTCTGCCTCATTTAAGGTAATTTTCAGATGGTGTTTTTTTTTTTTTTTTTTAATTGTCTTTGACAACAACAAACAAACAAAAAAAACTAAGCAGACAAAACAAGTATTTAAAAAAAAAACTGTTGTAAACATAACTTAATTAGAGCACTTCTGAAATGCCATAACTTGTTTCTGGATTAATTTGGAAAATAGCTGCGCTTAATTTAATAAAGAATATTTTCAAAACATATCTACCGGAACATAAAAATGAATAAAAGCAAGTAAACGGGTATTGTTGCTGTTAGTTGCCTTGCGCAGTAATCATACATGTTTTTCTGATAAACATGTTTGTCTGAGTCAAGGACGTGTGCATTAAAACAATTAGACACAAGTATTTGTCTTCATCGTTGTCTTTGCCAGAACATTTCTAATCCATCTTTGTTAGATACATTGAACTGGGGACATCTGTTACAACCTTCCACTGCCTCAGTTCCTCTGTGGGTACTTATGTTCTATCCCGAGCTTGTGCAAACACAACCCTCCTCAGCTCTCTTCATCTGTGTGCTTTTCTGTCTCTCTTTGTACTTAGGTGGGAAGTGTGGTGTCATTTCAGTGCCATCCAGGTCATTTGCTTCAGGGATCTTCTTCTCGAACCTGCCAGCCTGATCTGACTTGGAGTGGAACACAACCCGAGTGCATACGTACGAAAGATACATCTTTTCAGTTTGCTACCTTTTCACCCATCCGCTCGAACCATCTGAGTCTTATTGAAGCGAACACTGTAACTCTCCAACCTCCAGCTCACGCTTGTAAGCAGCCAGAGAGCCCTCTCCATGTGGACGTGGTGGGAATGGACCTGCCGGGGTTCGGCTACACGCTTGTGTACAGCTGTCAGCATGGATACTTCCTGGCAGGGGGCTCAGAACACAGAGTCTGCAAGAGTGATGGCACTTGGACTGGAAAGATGCCAATATGTCGAGGTATGTGATTCACTTCTCTGATTTCCGAGCGTCCGTATCGGCATCGAGTGCATTTGTTTGATGGTCTTATCTCAAGCCGTTTCACTTGCGTGAACAGACAGACGAGTCTCGCTCAAGGACACTTTGGACCATCTGGAGTAGTGAAAGATTTACTGGTGGGGTGGACAGCCTGTGGACCGATGGAGAGTCGGAAAGCTCTAATACATAAAAAGCATGTTGTTTTGTTTTGCTAGTTTAGCGTGTTCAAAGTTAAAAAAAAAAAAAAAAAAAAAAAACTTGGAACCGCTAGAGCGTAGTTGTTAATAAAACTTCTGTGGAATGTAATGTTTGTGTTGTATTTAAATAATGCAACTCAACTAAGATTGAACTTATACTGAGTTATATCGCACATCCAACGAGGAGAATATTTGGTAAAGAATCTTTGGTGTCGGGCAGCTGTGGCTGAGTGGTTAGAGCAGTCGTCCTCCAATACAAGAGTTGGGGGTTCGATTCCACCAGCAGTCACATGCCGAAGTGTCAAGGTGCAAGACACTGAACCCCTCATTGCCTCAGATGTGTGTCCCATCAGTGTATGAATGTGATAAAGCTCTGATTATATTCAGGTTAGATTTTTTTTTTTGTCGTGCAAAGTCAACACAAGGTCAATAATGTAATGAAATAGGACGAGAAGAACCGTTTGGAATCGTCAAAAAAAAAAAAATAAAGATAACAAGAAATATCAAATCATGCAGCAAAAATACTAAAAACATACTACAAATATACTACTAACATACTAAGTAAAACATATTAAAAATACTATTACTTGCTAAGAAAAACATATTAAAAATACTACTAACATGCTAAGAAAAACAT